CTGACCAAACTATCCCTTTGTATGCCGAGGTCTCTCAAACAGATTAACTCTACTTCATCTGCCCCATGCGTCTTGGGCACGACGGAAAAAGATTATATATATATATATATATATATATATATATATATATATATATATATATATATATATATATATATATATATATATATATATTTTTTTTTTTTTATAATATATAATAATTTTTCATTATTTTAATGGTAGGCCTCTTTGTTGGTTCAATTCACTACAACCGGTGTCAATATTTTGACTGGACAGTCGTTCATTAATTATTTACCCGGCCTGTTTTGTCAAGCAATACTATGACCCAGCTACCACCTAGGAATAAACGCACTCAGAAATCCGGTAGTCGATGTATTAAAAAAAACGACCACGCCTTTTACATGAGTTCGAACCACTCCGACCCCCCCCCCCCCCCCCTTTTTTTTTCTGTAAGCAAATCGGTCAGCCGTGACGCGATTAAGCAGGACACACAGCAGACCGGAAGTGCTCGTTCCCTGTGACGTAGCCACTTCCTGTCCACACAGCGCGACCAACGAAACACGATTGGCTGTTTTTATTCGTTGGTGACGAATCGAATTCTTAAGACAAATTAGGAGTCTATTAACTTTTTTTTCAGCGGCTTGACTTTAAAGTTTTCATTAACATTGACTTTTTTTAGCAATTCGCCGAGTTATTATTAGGTTTGTCGGTTCTAATTACTTTTCTTCAAGGTGTAATTGGATTTATCATGATGTCTTTGACTTACTTGTCTGTCACTTACAGCCGAGGAATACACTGACCAAGAAGACGAGTTATTTGTATCATAAATAGCGTTGTTGGATTCTAAAGACATTGTGGGCATTTCAATCGTTCGTAGATTTCGATGACTTCGGAGGAATTTCAGCTCTGATTTTGTTGATTTTTTTTTCTTTTTTTTTTTGCCAGATTTTAATGTTAAAGATTGGAGAAATTCAGTAGATTTTTTTTTTACATTTCAGTTAACATTTTGGCTGTATGATATAAATCGTTTTAAAAACTTTTCTTTTCAAAGTTCCAATGACTTACAGGATTTTAACGCTTTATGGAGATTTGGGATTTTGATATTTAGTAACTTTTTTGGTATTTGATTACTCTTTGGAATTTATTGTTGGTTTTTTAGGGACGAGGATTCGGATAATGTTTAGGATTAAATTTTTTTAAAAGTTATATGATATTTCTACATTTTACATTTTGGGTATTGCTGATTAAACAAAATTCAAAAAATAGTACTAGGTAGTTTTTGCTAGAGTTTGTGGTTTGAAAGATTTTTTATATATTTATATATCTTCACACACTCTAGTTTCCTTTAAAGACAACCTACTTAAAAAACAATTCAACAATCTAGACGTGAATCATCACCTTTTCCCGTTCGTATACAAAACACATGGGGTAGATGAAGTAGAATTCATCTGTTTCAATGACCTCGACATAAAAAGGAATAATGTGGTCAAAACTATGCCCAGCCGCCTTTGTTTCTATTATGTGGATCATGTACCCATCAGAGCTGAGTGGACTTAGGGACGTTCCACTGAGTTGAACCCGGATTCGAACACAAGATTTTCGGGTAGCAGTCTAGCAATCTACCCTAGATGAGAAAGCCGTTTATCTATGAGATGATGCAGATTTGATGTAGATTTAAATGCTACCTACCTATGAGATGCCTTTGTATCAACTAGTCCGCCATGTTGCCCCTATCGGAAGTGATGTTTAAACCATTAAATAAACGAATCGAAAAAAATTGGCGGGAATTGATTTATTTACAACACATTGGATGAAGGGGAGATGACTCACAATATAATATATATATATACAATAAAAACATATACATACTAAAGTTTCCAGACTACATTGGTCTAACCTAAACAGCCGACACCATGTAATTGACTTAAGGGTGTTAGTTTACATCTTCCTTGCCAGAAAAGTATTTTTTTTTTCATTTCTTTGAGAGTTGTTTAGTTATTTGTTTTTCCTGCTCGCGTCTGCTATTGTATATTTTTCCTTTATATTTATAATTCGCCGTGGTCAAGTCGGTAAAGCTCATGGTAAACCGAAAAGTCTTGAGTTCGAACCCGCGGGCAAATGAGGCTCGATAGCAGGGGACAACTCCAAAATCAAACCACTGCTGCCTTGTAGCTTGTTCTTGGATGGATAAAGGCTATGGAAGTAAATCCAAATTAAAAAGCAGGCTGAAATCGGAGTCAACCTCTATAAGTCTATATGGCGCATAACAAATTGACACGTATACTTATTTGTGTTGGAGGGAATTTCCCCCAACACTAAAGTTAAGAACGAAGAAGAAAATCACTAAAACATGTCTAGTTTTTAAAGTGGAAAAAACATAAACATAAGTCAAGAACTCAATGACTGAAGCTCACATGACTGAGACTTTATGATTTGAATAACATGACTTAATTGATGATCTACGTTCACTTGACTTTTCCTTTACTGCCTTTTTAAAACTAACTCATTAGTATCACAACATCTTCCTATAAAAGCTCTTAAGTAAACGACCTTCTTACTAAAACTTTCTTATCAAACCGCTCACCCCAAACAACACGAAAAACGTCAGTTAATAAATAAAACAAATGTATTACTCCGCCGCCGATGTACATTAGCTGTTTCAGAAAATTCCTCCGAGATCCCATTTCATATTTCTCTACCATCAAGTGTAAAGATCTATTGGCGTGATACTGTCTATGTAGATATGTGTTTGTTTAAGTGCTACTTTTTCTTCCCAGTCCAACGTTCGTGTGGGCAATGAAATGTATGGTAAAATAGTAGATTCTAAGATGGTAGGTGGTATAAGTGGGGAATTACGTACTTGTTTATTAAAAAGTAGGGTATAGTTTTAAGAATGGTGTTTTTTTCTTATATGATTGATTGTATGAATAGATGAAGTAGAGTTTATCAGTTAGAGAAACTAGTCATATGAATGGATTTTAGGGTATTTCGCTAACTTGCTATTAATTTCTCATACTCGAGTCAGGTGCCCATCAGAACCTGTGGACTTAATATATAGAGGGGACAATAATCGAACTCGAGACGTTTGGGTTGGCACCAAATCGCACGGCCTCATGACCGCTTTATCACACCGCTTATTATATTGTAGTGTAAAGTAAGAGTGGTCAGTGGCGTAGCGAGGTCGGGTGTAACCCGGTGCGGCACTTAATGGTGTCACCCCCCCCCCCCCAGAGGCGTAGCGATCCTTCCCGGGGACAAACTTTCAATATTCGATTTGCACCCCCCCTCCCTCAAACTTTCGATTTGCACCCCCCCCCCCCCCCCTCAAACTTTCGATTTGCACCCCCACCCCTCAAACTTTCGATTCACACCTCTTAAAACACTATTTAACACTCGAATTAATTACTTAATTAAGTGGAATTATCGTTTTTCTTTTTATATTTTGCTATTTTTTGCCTTGGTGTCGCCCCCCCCCCCTAAATGGTGTCACCCTCGCTACGCCTCTAAGAGTGGTGTATGGTAAAGTGGTATATTACACAATGGTTGCTTGTCTAGCGATCTATCTCTCTTTCATTGAAATTAAAAACATTAAATCTTTAAAGTTTAACATCGCTTTAAAAGTTGAACTTGATAAAATTAATTTCTTCTCTGTTTGCTGCAAAGGACAATAACTCTTGACTGTGTTATCTCCCCTGAAGTCGTGTCCTTAAACCTATGGGGTTGTTGGTAACTATGTAGTGAAATGCTGTGGCACACACGGCGGGACCAGAGCGCAAACATCTGCTGCTAATCTTGTTGTCTGGTGCCAGACCCAGGGTCTCTAGCGTGACCCTGCATAGATGGGGGTATAGTGCTGTTGTGGTGGGGTTTGGTGGTGGTGGGTGGGGTTGGTTGGTGATGTGAGGGGTTGGTTGGTGGTGTGTGGGGTTGGTTGTTGGTTTGTGGTGTTGGTTGGTGGTGTGTGGGGTTGGGTGTTGGTGTGTGGGGTTGCTTGTCTGTCTGTCTGTCTGTCTGTCTGTCTGTCTGTCTGTCTGTCTGTCTGTCTGTCTGTCTCTCTGTCTGTCCGTCCGTCCGTCCGTCCGTCCGTCCGTCCGTCTGTCTGTCTGTCTGTCTGTCTGTCTGTCTGTCTGTCTGTCTGTCTGTCTGTCTGTCTGTCTGTCTGTCTGTCTGTCTGCCCAGTTTTGTTTAGCAGTTGACCACACTATTAATCTGATAATTCTAGGCTGGGATTAGCCTATGGGTGATGGGGGTGAAGGTCGATTAGTCACACCCACATAAATTAACTCCTTATTTAACTAGCTTTAGCCTTAACCAGAACGTAAGCCCAAACTGTTATCTTTAAAACGACGATGCATTATATTTTACGACTGCTTGGGTTCTGCTAATGGATTAATACCAATGCGGATTGGGATGGTGGGTGGTGGTGGAGGGGGGGGGGGGGGGGGCGGGGAACACGCTACACACTGTGTGATTAAAAGAAAATATAGCTCAATTTGGTCTCATGAGACAATGGATGCACCATCAGAAGTGGAATGCTAGGGGCGCGGGACCTAAGATAGGGAGATCATGGGTTGCCTATGCATCGTGATCCCCCTCTAGTCCTTGGACGGTATAGTCCAAAAGAAATGCTAAGCCTTATGTTGGGTACCAATTTCGGCTGAAGTAGATGCCGAAAGGAAGTCCTGTGATTAAGAAAAGTTACAATGCCATGGCTATAACGTACGCATCTCAACGATGCTCCTCCATAAAATTCATATTCCTAACCCACCTCCCATCAACCCACCTCTCACAAACCCACCCCGTCCAAGACCACCTCTCATATTACATGTCTTCAACGTTAAGATAGTTTTTATGTTTTTAAATATTCTACATTTAAATTGACACCAAAAAATGTCAGCGCTCAGATTCATAATAAATATTTAAAACGTTTTTTTTCTCAATCTAAACTGTTTTCCTTCCAGGAACGACAACTCGATAAGTCTTGGGGATGTAAAGAAGGCGAGGCAACAAGTTAAACGGGAGTTGTATCCCTTTGTCGCTGGGCCATCGATCGTGTCGAACAAAAGATTGCCACACAGGGAGTAGGCGATTACCACTGGGTGATGGTGAGTGTGGGGTATGTGTGGGGGTGGGGGAGTGATAGGGTGAGCTGTGGGGGAGATAAAGGCTGGTATTTTGAGACGGTTGTTAAAACAGGGGCGGGAGGGGGGTGGAGTCGTCACTAGCAGTAACTAAAAGTGCCGTGTTGTCAAAGTTAAAAGAAACAGAATACACGTGTTAAAAACCATATTCCTACCGTTCACGATGTTGTATGTAATGCTAATAGATGTAGGTATCATTTCTTTACACGGTTAAATTAGTCTATCGGACCTAAGAGTTGTTAGAGTAGATGAAGTAGAGTTTGTCTGGTGTTTTGCTTTTGTTTTAATTAAATCTTATGCGCAAATTTAAGGAATAGTATTGTCTTAATTTCCTTGCTTAAGTTAGGCTTCCCATCAGTACTGGGAGACTAAAAAGTCATGGAATCACAGGTTTCAAAAAGCAGTGTTTCTTTCAGGCACCTTTTCAATGGCGTGGGGGGGGGGGGGGGGCAGTACAAAAACAACGAAATAGAATTTATATATAAAATATATACTTTTTATCCGTGTCTGCCTTCTCAGAAAATTTAGTCAACCCCCCCCCCCCCCACCCTCACCCTCCAAAGTTTCAACTGAACGGTATACCTGCAGACAGTTTGGTTCAACTGATCGGTACACCCCCCCCCCCCCACCCCGTCAGTTTGGTCCCACTTAGCGGTAGGCCTACCCCCCCCCCCCCCCCCCCCCCATACAAGAAGAGCTCCCCTATTACCCCCTACCCTAACATCCTTTCCCCTCCTTGGCCAGGCAAGTCACGCCAGATTTTATTACCTGCCTGGTTGGGCTGGAATTTGGCGCCACTGAAGACTGACCCTTACATCGGGGACACGACCTACTTCCTCGGCCGGACACGTGACGGAAAGTGTCACTTTATCCGGGGAGGGGTGGAAGGTCAATTTATCCGAAATATTTGGATAGCTGGCATTACCGATCATATTTCAAAACTTCAAAGCTAATCTAAGCCTCAATTTTGTTTTGAACCATAGCCTTAAAATTTAATCTTACCTTATTTTTAAGCATGCTCTCAAGATAATCCTACATAAACTTAGCCGTAAAATTTGGTTCCCATAAAAATGCGCTACGTAAAAAATGCGCAACTTAAAACTGCGCACACAGAAAAATAAAATTTTCGAATTCTTTATACCAATACACTTTTTAGCGCAATTTCCATACGGACAATTGCGATTATTTTTTCATAGTTCGTTGTTTAAATATTTTATTCAGCCCCAATGTACATGTGGTCATTCAATGCTAACGTCTTTAAATTATAGACTTTAAAAAAAAATTCCCGCTCTCTTTTTAGTTTTCGGTTGTGCACTTTTTTGATGACCCTAAAATTGAACTCAACAAACCATAAACTCACAGTGTTCAAAATTATTCATCTGCTATTCAAATTATAACAACGTGATGGTGCGGTTTGTGGATTTTGGTCAAATTGGGCTTAATTTTTTCTAACATACTAATTTTTTTTTAGAATATTTGTTGTTTTGTTGCCTTTTCCAAAAAAAAAAAACCTAGACGTTTCATAATTTTTACCCAATCAGACTGTTTTGTTTCGTTTTCCTTTCTTGTAAAAACATTAAGTGATAATAGAAAAAAAAACCTCACCCCCTCCCCACCCCTACCCCCACCCCAACCCCACACAAACCAAGTTATAACTTTCCTATCTCCGCCAATGAAGATCCCCTTCAGTCGTCTCGCCAAGTCCTCGTGATTTCTCCCCCTTTACTTCCGGTGTTGAAATGGCACGCGAGTTACTGCAAATTGGCACCGAATTATTTTCTAATCTTCGTCGCCATTTTTTTTTCCTGGTGTCGACAACATTCGTGAAAAAAAAGACAAAAAATTTAAATAATTTGTTTTATGGTCGGGAAACCCTTATTTAATGGAGAGCTTAATTTGTGTGGAAGATATGAACATGTGTCATCTTAGCTCTACCGTTCTACCCATGATTGCATATCCGGCTTTACAAGTCGATTACATACTCTAGTGTAAGCATTACTCACGTGTTGTGTGATATGCTAATTGTAGGCCTAGTAAAAAAAATAATTACGACTTAATTATCAATCTGATAATTCAAACGGGTACTTAAAATGACCATTCAACATTAAATTCAAACGGGTACTTAAAATGACCATTCAACATTAAATTCAAACGGGTACTTATAATGACCAGTCCACATTAAATTCAAACGGGTACTTATAATGACGTCCATTGTTGTGCTTAAGACAGATTGTATCGTCCACTTGATCCTGCTATATGTCGGTCTGTATATTCCGATGTCGCTGTAACGTGCCATTTCTTTAAAAATTTAAAATCTGTGACATCTTAAAAAAAAGAAATTTTAGACGGATGTGGTCGATCTAATACTGCAGTGGGTAAATCTTGACGTTAATCTGTTTGACACCTCCCCCCCCCTCCCCCACTCCCCGATACATTTCTTCTAAAGAGTTGGACATGATAGCCAAATGACAGACATTACATAGCCACGTGGCAGTACAATCTCCCAGCACATTTTTTTTTATTCCGAGTCCATTCGCGTCTAGGTCCTGTATTTTAATGTCTAAAAATCTTCATGAAAATGTACTCAGTGTCTTAATCCCTTGGGACTTCATTGGCGCTACATCTCTCTTCCCCCCTCTCACCCCTAACTAATGACACTAGAATTTTTCTGCCCCCTCCCTCCTTCCCCAACCTCACCCCATCCTTTTTGCATTGTTAGACATGAGAGTATTCTGTTTATTTTTACAAGGGCGGGCGAGGGTGGAAATGCAAAAAAAAAGTACTTTTATTTGCGTAATCTATAACAGGTCATTTTAAAGTACTTTTATTTACGTAATCTATAACAGGTCATTTTAAAGTACTTTTATTTACGTAATCGATAACAGGTCATTTTAAAGTCTCTTCTAAACTAATTTCTAACTTTTTGTATTATTTACTTTAAGGCTAGAATAATGTCCTGTTTATGTGTTTATGTTAAAGATCCTACTCCAAATGCTAACTCTAGAGATGTCGAACCCCACCCCAATTCTCCTGAATGTCCATTATTTCAACGCTTATATTATAATTAGAATTTGTAGACGGTACAAAAATGATGACGTAAATTATTATACTTAGTCTCATTATCATCATCTTTCCTGTGGACCCCTTGTGGGCCCACAAAATATACGTAGTCTACTGGTGAGAATATACGTAGTCTACTGGTGAGAAAATGATGGCTTTCCCCAACTCTGAACAAAACACTAGGGGTGGGGGTAGATAGGCAACACGATGTAGATTGTGATCTTCTTGAATTAACAGATACTGTTTAGTGGGTAAATATTATGTGGACTAGTGTCTGTTGATATAGGCAGCATCAATTTTCTTCTTGCTCAACCACACCACAATACGTGTATTCCTATTACAAACACAACACCACACAGTTCGGCAACACAAAACTTTACAGCAGTTTATTTCACAAAACTGCTTACGGTTTACTTCAACACAATATACCGCACATACAAGATAAATAGATCAACACAAAGTACATAGCCCAACACAGGATTATTATACAGTGCCCAACGCAACATTGCTACATAACACAATACAATTAAAATTAAAAGTTTTAAAATGTAAAGATGCCTCTTTAGACCGAGCGATCCATTGGGCAGATGAAGTAGAGTACATTTGTTTCTTGATCTCGGCGTATGAAGAGATGGTGTGGTCAGCACTATACTCAGCCGCCTTTGCTTTCACTGAGTTAGATACCCATCAGAGTTGGGTGGACTCAGGGACTTTCTACTAACTTGAACCAGGAATCGAATTCGAAACTTACAGGTTAGCAGGCTGGCGCTCTACTGCTAGGCCACTCCGTCCTACACAATTATAGATACTAGAAATAGGATTAAATTTTGAGTCTGACTCTATATCCTACCCCAGATAAAAATTCTACATCTCGTGTCGATTTGAACAGAAAATGTGTCCTGTTTTGTCTAGAATACCAACAAACACCATCTCGTGCTAAATTCTGTTTGGTATATTATAGAAAACATTTCATTGAAAAAAAAAAATAAACCAAAAAGAAATATCAATGTACAGTGGTTTTTAACTTTTTTCGTGAAGTAAAATATCTGAACTGTCCAAATCGTTGTAGATTTATATCTGACGAAAAAAAAATTGCGATTCGCGATCATAGCTTCCGTATTGGTAATTCAGGCCGGAAGATTAAAAAAAAAATTTTTTTTTTATAATATCATGAATGCTTCGATAATAATTCCCCAAATTTTTCCCGACAATTCTTTAAAATGTTTGTAAACGCACAATTTATGCCGGCGAAGCGCAAACGAAATTGCACGTTGGAATTTTTCTGTCCCCCATTTTAAAAAAGAACTCTAGCTGTTAGGGGGAAGCTATTTAGGGCGCTCGTGATAGGAAATTATGCCAAAACAATGAAGTTAGGGGGTGGGGCGGCGAGGGCTGGCACGAACGTGTAAGTATATATGTAAATGTCGTAAGCGCAGCCATTTTGGTTTCATAATGAGTTAATGGCAGGTCCCGCCTTTTGGCTTTTATCGGGAATTCCGAGAGGCTATTTCTGTCAATAGGTACGACGATTGGGTTTACTTGTTCGTTAGCAGTGATTGCCCATTTTATCTACTAAAATGAAAGTCGTGTGAGCGGAAGTGGAAAAGCCAGAAGTGAAACTACGATTTGACCGAAGGTGGAGATAGCGGTGAGTGTGGGTGTGGGTGTGTGGGGTGGTTAGGGGGATGGGGGGATCGCGTGTGTGGTTCAATTAAATGTTCTCGCGAGCACTTTCTCACATCAGACTTCAAGATACAGGCACACGCTACATTAGTACACACACACGCGCGCACACACACGTTCACACTCAGACACCACATTTTTACTCACACACACAGACTTACATAAACATTTACATCACACACAAGCAACTTTTACACAGAAATCACATTTTCACACACACA